GGGCATAAATTATCAGAAACGATTTGGTTTGTTTGTGATTTGGGAAGCCAATAGGGTGTCCCGAGTCAATTAATTAGCCTGTGTGATTTATTGTTTAATATACTCAACTGCTCAATGACGAGTGAGTAGATTGACCAGCAATGGCTAATAAAAGTGAGGATAAATTTATGACACCCATCAGAGGTTGACTTAAAACTTTCCTAAGTTGGTAAAAGAAATAATTGATTAGGTGCTTTAATCTTTTTTCAATAAATAATTTGATATCTTATTAGTGTTATTAGAATCCACATTGTGGGACAGTTACGTTGCTAAATAGTGAAAATTAATAAAATGATATTTTGAGATATTCTCCTCGAATTTGAATATTTCTTTTCCCAATAATGACATTTATGAATTCAATTTCGCCCATGAAGTGGCCATTTCATTGAACAGTGTGAGGTTAAGGATTATTTTGTGCCATTATAAAAAATGGCTGAGCAAATGCATTGAAAGTGTTGAGATTTAAGGGATTCCCGCAGTAGTAACGCGGTTGGACCATTTGAATGTTGGGAGTTATAAAATGCGCAATTGGTTGACCTTCACATCACCCAGATTGGCCTTAATTGATATTTTCTCAATCGTCTGGATATATCTGCACTATCTTAATGACTTTCAAAATGCATTTTTGCGTTTTATTTACTAAAAATGTCATTTGCTTCGTGGAATTGATTGAAGTTACACTTGGAAGTCCGTTGCAAATTAACACATATTGATTTGAAATTCCAGGGCTTAAATTCTTTTTTTTACATATTTTAGAACAAAAGAAATTGATTTGTTTCTATTTTAATTGATCCTAGCCAGTAGAACACACGACTCAATATCCATTTGAGTTTATTTTGAAATGGTTTTGGCTACCCAACAGCAGTGATATATTAAACTGAAAACGATCAGATGCTTATATATTTTCTAAGTCTTTTCATGAACTTTAATTCAAGAAGTGCGATTTAACCTGTTAAACAAAATGGGCAAAAAGTTAATGTGAAGTAAATATTTTGATAGGAAGGTTAGAAGCAAAATTTTGAAAATCTTTCCCGAAAAGTTTGATAAGCAAATTACCTTTATCCCATAATCGGATTCTGAACGCAGCTGGCACTTGATCTGCCTTTTTTTCATCTTACATTTACATCTATTCTGACAGCTGTATTTGTTAGAATTTTCACAGGTGTTTAAGTGAATACCAGCTTCCTATAGTTTCCATTTAATATATAAGGATTCTATACCTTAATTGGAACTTGTGTTTGATTAAGCACAAACGTCATCCTAAGCTGCAGAATTGTTGTTTTTGTCCAGTTATAACCAGTCCCCCTCCTCCAAATTGTTACTTTCTCATATCATGCTGAAATTTAATTGAAAACTAAAAAGCTCTCGTCGTGCAATCAATCCTAAGGGTCTCTTTTTAGTTAATAAAATGTCCTATATTATTTCTGTGTGAGTCTAGACTTTAAAGTATAAAGGAGACCTATTCTATAAAATCTTTTTAAGCACTTACTTCTGCAATTGAATATACTAGCAGTCAATAAATAATTTCTTTTCTTAATTTTAAGGAATTTCGGTATTGGCTTCTGGTTAGTATAAACATCAACAAATTTCTCGGCTTCTGTTTGAGTTAATTAAATCGAAATTTTATCATATAAAATTAATTTAAGTATGAGCGTTATTTATTTTTTATCGAAGAAAAGAATTTGCATTATTTATGACAAATATTAACAGTCTAATTGAATTTTGACGCCTAGAACTAAAGAAAATAATTTGTACAATTAATACATTGGGTAGTTACTACTTATAACTAAAGTGAAATTTGATAAATATCTTCTAAAGCACTAAAACGTCTCGTTTATTTGTAATATTCATGCATTTACTGCAAAACCACTTATCAGTTGGTGCAATTATTAATCACATTAATAGGACAGATTTCTGACCAATCACAGTCTAGTCTATTCGAGGGTTAATTTAATAGGTTAACGCAAAATTTAAAATCCCCGTGGAAAAGGACAATTATTCTAGATTCCAGTCGAAGAAATCAAACGTAAGAATATTTATGCTGATAATTTAGGAATTATTCTATTTAATTTACACTTTATTTTATTGGCATATTTGTTATAATCGAATTAAAATAAACCTTTTTATAAAATACACTTTTAAAAAGCATTTAGTGATCTACGCTTAGTGGATAACATTAAGTGAACATTAGAGACGATTTGATTTGATTGATTAGTTAAGTGTTGTTTTTTGCCACCTTTTAATAAGTACTTAACAATCACGGTTTCAGAAAAAGACGAAAAGTTTATTTTAGTCTAAGGAAACTTTTATTTCTACCTTAAAGGTCAAATCTTCAAAATTGTTATAACAGTAAAATTCAAAAGAATGTGGTTTCCTTAAAGACTTTTTCAAAGCTCACACCATTACTCGGTTTACAAATTTCAATTTTAAGGCTACTTGAGGAACTTTAATTAGAGATTAGTTTTTAAAACAATTTTGACTTTAATGAAAGTAAATTTGAATCTTTCTCTGGTTCCAAAAATGCATTCGTAATTTTGTTAGCTAAACGAATGGGCAGTTGTGCCACTTGTATATTCTCTTCTGCAAAGGAACTTTGCAATATAAGTCGGAATTTACAACATCTAAACGGGTAGAAAACTTTTAAATGTTATAACTTTACAAAATGCATTGGTCGTAATATTCTGTTATCTTCTTTCAACTATAGACTCAGAATTATCCCATTCATGATGACCCGGCTGGAGTAAAGGTCAAATGTAGTATGTTTTAAAGTAATGCCAACTTACCTATTAACAAAAATATAGGTGTTTCTTTTGTTTTCTGTTAGATTTGAAGAGCTAGAAAAGCCTTTTGCTGATTTAACAGGCAGCAATTCGTTGCGCGGGAAATTAATTATTTGATAATTACTTAATTAAACCTTTTTACCTTAAAACCAAAATTTTTTAGAATTTTTTTACTTTTTTGGATAGTTATCTTATGAAAGCCATTTCGCTGAATTGATATTGCAATAACTTGAAATTGTCAAAATATAACCACCTGCAGATAAATGATCTATTTAAAACAAATTAATTTTCAGCATTTTTTCGGTGCATCTGTTAAATTAGGCTCTACCGATTGATAACTGATTAATTTACTTATTTTTACTGTAGGCAAAAAAGGCGGATTCACATTGTTTTTCATTTTTAATATTTAAAACCCAAATTCATGGGTGATAATATGTCCACCATAACTGGAGGTCTATGATTGGTTGAGTCATGTGCGATGTTGGAAGTGCCAATCAGATTGGCTATTTTTCTTACAGCAGGAACACACATAGAAAATATTGAGCAAAGCTATTAAATCGATCATATATCTAAATAATTCTCACATCTTGCGTAAACGAATAACTTTAAATAAATCAAAGCTTTTCAATGTTAACATACACTTGAAATTTAAATTTAAGCCATGTGAGAGGTGAAAAGTACTGATTACGTACAGACCTCTGTATGATCAACTCTGCCCTCAAAAATAGCATGACACTTGACGCACTTTGTAGAGTGAAATACCTTATGATTTAGGTGGAGACAATTCTTTATTTGCAACCCTTTGTTGTGCAAACAGTTAGAAATTTTCTGATTTGGCATTCTAAGATAAGTGCCAGAGTTTTATTATATGCTGGCTATTATCATATTGCCTGAACAGGTTTTCTACATATCTTTCGTTTTAATGTTTACATGGATACTTATTCTTGAATATTGCATGATAGGTAAGCAAATACGGACTTGACGGCGAGACAATTTACTAATACTGGAAATATGTTTACCAATGCTAATGGAAATTGGGATGGGTGTAAGCCATAGCCCAGCTATGAAGAAAACAGACGTGTAGAACGGAGCACATTTATTCAGGACGTATATTGCGGATCAAGTGTGTACACGCAGGGAGCTACTCATGATCAGGATGGCGGATCAGGTTAAACAAACAGATAGCTGCCTAATCATGATCAGGATGGCTGATTAGGTTAAACAGAGATTAATGGTGGTCACTGTTTGTACGGTCGCTGCACACAGAGTTGTACGGCGAACTGTTTGTACGGTCGCTACACACAGAGTTGTACGGCCGCACCTCCCAATCCTGGCGAGCAGACATGCAGGCATACGATGACGCACACAGCGACATCGTGTCCCACAATAATGTAACTCATATTTCTCAGGGCATAAGGAAGACTTTCTTCCTCTTCCTAACCAATGGTTCAGTGGCACTATCATCCTTTCTTCAAAATATTTTAATCCACAATTTTTTGCCCTAAAGTTCCGGTTAATATCATTTGATAAGTAATTCTAGGTGATATTTGACGACTCAAATATTTAGTGCCGAATAAGATTGCCATCAGGGATCAAATATATGTGGTTATATTTTAAAATTTAGTTTACGAATTAGAAAAATTGGACTTATTTATTAACCAAGCAACTTTTCTCTTAATGCAATAAAGTTGGTTAGTAATTCATCGACAAATCGAGTACCACGCAGTTGGTAGTTATTTAACAACGCAAATCCCAACAATTCAACGAATCTGGATGAAAAAATAAATCAAAATTAACTCATTTTCAGCCTACTTAAAACACAAGTCCATAGTAGACAAAACTGGGCCAATAGCTTTTCCAGAAACCTAAAAATAATCCGTTCGATGAAGTAAAAGCAGACTGGTAATTAAAATGAAAATTAATCTTGCTTTGAATATGTATTTTTACAGTTTAAATCTCACATTCATTCTTTAAGTAAAATATGTAATCATGTTTTGCTTCCTTAGTGTGTGTGTGTGTGTGTGTGTGTGGGCAGTTAAGTTAACAACAAAATCGAATAGATTTAGTGGTAAGCAACTATCGAATCTCTAGGTATTAATAAAAAATAGATCTGTTTAGCATTTTGCGCAGTTCTGCCAACATTAAACCCACCCCCCTCCATTTTCGCTTTCTAGGCAAATCATGTGGAAGCGAAAATCACCTGTGAAGAAAAAGTCTGCTGAAGAAGGGGAAGAGGAACTAGCTGAGAGAAGTAAAGAAAAGCATGGCTGGATTCTTCGTGCCAAGTCGAATTGTCGATTCTTTCTTGAATCAACTTCCATCAGAGGTTGTAGTCGTATTGTTCGCTCAGAAAACCGTACCATCAGATGGATGTGGGCAATTTATCTATGTCTTACCACCCTTTTTCTCCACGGATCTATATTAAAATTAGTTACGGAATATATGAATTATGCGGTAAATATTCAGACTTATATTGATATGGATGCTCCAATGGATTTCCCCTCCGTCACATTCTGTAATCATCAACCATTTTCTAATCGAGCATATGAACTCTGGAAAGATGGAAGCGTCATTTCTCCGACCCGGTTCAATCAACTTGTGCGGCATCGAGCCGCCGAACTCTTCTCCCGATCAATAGAAATTCCTCACTACGATAACGGTACCGTCCGGATATTGAATAAAGCCATGATGTTTGAGTCTCTACGGCAGGGTATTGTCTATGATAGCCTCCCTTTGTATTATCAAAGCGTTCAATGGCCAAGACAATTAGAGCTGGGACACAATAGGAAGGATCTGATAGCTCTTTGTCTACTTCAGTATGGAAACCAATACGCTGTCACAGGACCTGGGTGTGAAGATGCAGTTCTACGAGTTAAAAGACTTTCTAATCCAAAATTCTTCAATTGTTATAGTGTTGAGGTTATTAAGGAATTCTCAAAAAGTATCAAAGAACTAGGCCTGATTCTTTGGCTGGGTCCAGACGAAAATCACGGCAATGAAGATCGTCAGGCATTTCTCTTCGACCTTTTTGAACAAGCTTATGGAATTAAAGTATCCATACATGAGCCCGGTGGAATGGCTAATCTTGATAAACACAGCTTTCAAGTTGCACCTGGGAGAATGAATGAACTGACGTTCCAGACGGTCAAAGTCCTTCATTATGATCGACCCCCTAAACCATGTGCGCCTAATCCCACACAGACTTACACCGACTTGAATGAGCAATATAATTATGACTTTGAATTATGTCTGAACAGCCATGTTCAAGAACGAATTGTTGAGGAATGTGGATGTCTCTATGCCTACTATCCTCGAATATATGAGCCCAATAAAACCCTTCCTTATTGTGGAGGGCTTATAGACGATGGTATGGGATTGTTGGATATAAAGGCGGTCGAGAAAAATGAACACTGTGCAGAAAACATTGTGAAAAACGCTGCCGCGTATAGGAAGGCCATTGAAGATAGTGAAATATGTAAAAGAAGATGTGAAACTGTTGAATATGAAAGCCAAGTGTCGGTCACAAAGTGGCGAGCTACCCCATGGCAACTTTACTGGAGTCTGAAAACATCAAGCCTATTTGATTCTGTTGCGAATGGAAGCTTGAGTCCGCGAGATGCAAGACTTATTGAACACTTTCTCAGGACGCCAAATTTAGCTGACATTGAGAATTCCACCAGCTCAATCGTTTTTGACGAACGGTATACGTATCTCCTTGTTCGACGAAAGTCGAATGACACTATAATTAAGGAAGAAAACTTAGTGCTAACTGTAAACGCTTTGTTTAGTCGGATAGGTGGTCTTTGTTCCCTTTACATTGGATTAACTCTTGCTGTTTTCATGGAAGTTGTGGAATTTATCTATATTTCCTGGGTACGGGCGATGTCTGCAAGGAAGAAGAGCTCAGGTGAGTTGGCTGAGCGGAACGAGCACAATTCACAACAGAGCCCAGCAGAAGACAATCATATTGAAGCGACCTTGTTAGACAACAATAACAGTAGACAAAAACCTAATGATCAGGTGGAATGCTCTAGTGCTCTTTAAACATGTAAATATATATATATATATTTTACTCCATTAACCGGATGGTCCCAGAGATTGTGAATACTGACAATATTCAATTGATGACATCTTATTGCCATTTTTGATAACTTATATATTATTACCTGATAATAAGTAAATAAATTGTTTTTAACTTAAACGGATTTTATTAATTCCGTAAAATAATGGGAAGACTCTTGGCGGGCTCGAAAGTGAACTGGACGCGAGAAAGGGCCTCCTGTTTCAACATTTACTTCAGTTTTATGACATTTTGTCATTCCAATTTAGCAGATTAGCAAACATACTGATTGACTCAGATAGTTAAAGTTGTGGCTTCCTATCTGAAGCTCATTCAAGTAGCCTATCGGCATTTGCGTCGAGGTGAGAACAAGAGAGGGAGAGAGTTGCCATTTGCATGAAGGGTCATCAACTATGGTGGCACTAAAGAATGGGACTGAAATGAAGACTTTCGAAGTGATAGTAGCAAACAGGAGGATCTTGTTAAATGGTGAAGTGAAGGGAACGAAACTGAGCGAGTGACTGGTGGAAATTGGGGTTGTATGAATAAGGCGAGAGAAGATGAAAAATAGCAGTCATCGTGGAAATCGGGGGGGGGGTGCAAAAATGCACATGAGTTTTCTGCGTTCATGCTCAAACTAAAAGCAATGAGATGGTTTAAAGACAGTGTGAAATTCCGCAAAGAACTACATGGTGTTCAAGAAATTCCCATTAAGGGTATTGATCTTGATGACTACGTGGGTCTTGATTTGAGTGTTAAAGGCACGCTCCATTAAATGACCAACTCTCAGGTACTGAAACGTGGCCCACAGCTGTGGTTAATGAAACCCAATTCTCCAAAATTTATATTCAAGTTTAATTGATATAATCAAAAATAATATATATATGTTTTATTTTCGTTGAAATCCCATTTAAAAGAAGAAAAAATTTTCTATTAAATTAACGCGAACATTTGTCATCTTAAATGGGAAAATCTCACAAGAGCACCTGGTGTAGTTGGCGTCGCAGTCAGCAAACCTCACGGGAAACTTTTGTTGCCAAGGCGACTGGATAACGGTTGTCTTAGAAATAACGTTTTACACTTCAAGTTCACTTGTGATTTCTTCAACACAATTCATTAACCAGTTCTCCTCTTTGCAACGTTGGCAGAAAGGGCAGAGAACTTTAAGTAATTAAGCTGAAGGTGCTGGCTTCTATCTCATCACCATGCCTAAAAGGTTTAAGTACATTGATAAGTAATTATGAAAACCTGCCTACAGTGAACTCAAATATAAGAAAAGCTGTCCTTTCTTTGCATAACAATTGCTTAATACATCGGTCTAACCCGATGCAAGTAACAGGTACTTTCATGGCGGTGACCCAACAATTTATTTGTACTGAGCATTTTTCAACACTCGTCTTGAGTAGGTTTTCTACCACCCGTCCTCCATACTAGTTGAAATTAAGTGGAAAAGGGAAGATGTTCTATTCATTTTGAAATGTACCAACCAGTCTCGAGCCCGATCATCTGAAGTCAATTGTGCTAATCTCTGTGGCATCATTTTTTGTCATTTATTCAAAAACCCCTCTGCAAATTGTTCCGGTAATTCGTTAGTTCATTTTGACATTTTATGGTTATTGCTTCACACGATTAATGGTTTCCTTTGCATGCTTATTGAATTTTAAATCATAAAAAATTACTATGATGTTAAGACATTGTACTCTAGATTATACGAACAGAGTGTTACTGAATGCGATTAGCAATTCAGTTTCATGCGAGATTTTTTCTGTGGGTCAGTTTGACGTAACTCACTTTTCATGGGAACGGTCAAGGCCCATTCCTACAAAGAAAGGCCCAGTTGGGAATGAATGAAAACAAATGAATTTGCTTTAGACACCAGTTCGAGGTCAGCTCCAACTCTAAAGTTACCGAAACGAGAAGAAGGTTGTAAATGAAGATTCCATGTAAAAATCTGAGGGTCGATTAAAAATCATACAGGTATAATATCATTCTAGATTAGGGATGAAAGAACTGAAACACTCATTTTGTTTAATAGAGATGAGCTGCAGTCGGTAAGACATTACATATGCAAGTTTATTAAGCCCTATTAGACTAGTTATAAAGTGCTTGGTCTAATTAACATCTTACAGACATGCGATATTCAGCCTATGCATATAAGGCCATAAGGTCAACTTCAAATTTTTAAGCAGAGGTTAGAAACCGATGAACACCAAATGCGTCGGTGCTTAAAATGAATTGGCTGTAAGCTAAGCCAATGGCACTAACATTCGAAAATGAAGCTCTTGCCACGAGGCAAACCATCGTGCTGAGGAAAGGAAACAGGTATTTTGATAAGATAGTTCTCTCATGTCTTACCAATTAATGTTACACAAATCATCTACTTCACTTTTTCCACGATCTTTCAAGCAGCGTTTTTAAATGCATTAAATGTGCTTCCTACGGTATGTCTGATTTGTGCAGATTTCGCGAGCCTCAGGGAGCAAACAGATAAAAAGTGATTATGCCAGGCTAAATAAATCCACTAAAAATATCCCATTTTTACCTTCGTATTCAATTGCAATATTTATGTTGACTATTGATACAAAGAGAGTGGAGCTAATTAATCTGAAATGACTCATGAAATCCAGCTATCAAATTAGGTGCCCACAAACTATTTGAATGATGATGGATTTTGTGCATCGGTAAAGCTAATCGTTGCTGCTAAGAAAATGTTTGATAAAATGCATGATTACATATTGAGTTTTGACAGGCTGAAATATATTTCAAGTCAATGGGACTACAATAATGATTCAAATAGCTTATGTTAAACAATAACATCTGACTGTCAAGAAACCCGTGTTTTATCGTCTCTTTTTTGACCCATAGTAAACCGTATAGTCGTTTATCAATAGATTGAAATCAAGTTGCATTATTAGGGTAAAAACTGATGCAACTTATCAGCAGCAAATAATCAGGTTCTAGCATCTACTTAACTACTAATTTTATGCACTAGTCAATATTGAAATTAATAAAAGGTCCCATTTTCTATGTTATGAGCTGCTCAACAATAAACCAATTAGGGTAATTTTAGGAAAAAACGCCTTTGAAGGCCCATAACATTTAAAGAGCTACTCACGGGGATTCCTATGAAGAATGTTTTGATGAATTCTATTGGAAAAGACATCAGCGTTTTGCCGCCTTGAAAAGTCTGCCCTTTCTTTATGCCTTAACAACTTTTGATAATTATAAAGAAAGTAATACATAAGACAACTCGAACAAACACTATGACTACGATTTCCCATTTATGCCATGATTTGTGCAGACATCAATGTTGATCGCCTTCTCTATGGATTCAATTTCTGGTTAAACCTCAAGTGAAAAACTGTGAACGTTTCTTCACTACTGACAGGAGCATCTTTCCTATCATGCATAGATCACGTACTTCCTTTTATCCAATATCCTATGCTTTAAGTCTTCTTAAGAGATAGAAATGACTGAAATGCCACTTTTGGGCATGTCATTCTCAACGGTGGCATCAAATCAGGTATGAGTCGCTTTAAAAGGATATTGTTGAAAAGCGGCGGCAAGTATTCTTGCTAACTGCGAAGTAGAGAAATAAAAAACACCGAAAGCCTACTTGTAGATTTTTATCTCCCGCTCGCTTGATCTCCACACTGCCGTGGCTGCATATCCAACCTTTCCCATGGCATGAAGAAAGCCATCTTTGTAAATAAACAGATGTACTAATATTGGATTGCACAAGAGAAGATTGGGAGGTGGGCAGTCTGCCCACTCCGCTAAATGTGTACCCCAAAGGGTTTCGTCATGTGTCTAGAACTAGGTGTCTGAATTTCTCTTTCCGATAATTAAAAATCGAGTCAGTCCCCGAAAAGTTTGCATTAATTTACGTAATTTAAGTAAACATACCTATGCATTCAAATTAGCAGACATGACTCAGTTTGATAGTAATAACAAGGAAATGCAGATTTGAATTAAGACGAACCAAATTCATCGGTGATAGAGCCTGTTCTTTAATGTGAAGCACTTATAATGATTTAATTCTATTGTTACTGCTAAGTCTTGGCTTAACCTAACAAACCATGAAGATAAAAAGATTAATATCTAATTTCCAACGAATTTTGCTCAGGAGTGGGTATGAAATAGAGCCATAATCCCGGTTAATCGATTAAGTAAATATTGAATTTGGCTTCAATAAAAGGTGGCGAATTTACTCAGGTGCAGCATGATATTTATATGGATGTTGCTTAGTTTAACTTGTCATATTTAACTAATTTTAGTAAATGGCTGTACCAAACAAAAAGTAAAATCGATCAAGATAACAAAGAAAAATATACTGTTTTTAAAAATCCAGTATTTACTTTTATAAAAGAAAGCCTACGAACTCACAAAAATATGTGATAATTCTGAATGAGTCTATATATTTAGAAAAGTGTTTGATTTGATTATTCCTGATTTCATAATCAGTGCATTCGCCTGATACCCTGATCCCAGCTCCTGCTTTGTTAAATACTCAGTCTTGAATGCAAATTTTTGCTTTATTTGGGGTGTTAATCCTTGATTGATTATCCTTGTAAATATGTCACGACCAATAGGAACGGAACAGATCAATACAGAATCGTTTGATCTTGAACTTGGTAGGTTTAGCCACTAATGCCTCCAGTCACATTGCAAGTGATAGATAAGAATAACCATAGAAGGATGGGCCGCAAAAACGACAATTTTCAATAAATTTTTTTTTCTTTAACGCGATTTTATCTTCAAACAGAAGTGCTTTCAGAAATATCAGCATGTCACTTTTAATAAGTTTGCTTCTTAAAGGGTATAAAACCCTATCAATTCCCCCATTGTAGAATAGGACCATTGCCGATGTAGTGGATGAAATCTACTTATTGTAAGAGATCTGGAAAAGGATTGCATTCTAGGAAGTGATGTGTGAAATTACTAATGCCATGCACTTAAATGCATACAGCGGTATAAATTCGAA